CGTTATGCTTAGGCCCTGCCATGCACAACGTAATTCGCCTGCATCGCTGCTGTCCATAAGGCGGCTTGCTAAAAGACGAACATTTGTCACCAGAATAAAAGGCAGACACGAGTGTCGAGTCGTGAAGGAGCTTCGTTTTACGATCGCGACTTCATATGCCACGAATATCCTTCCCTCGCCTGATCTCTGAAGCATCATTTGTCACTTATTTAAAGCCGGCTATCGCTGCGACTTCTGAGCACTCGTCCTGTCTGCTGGCGCCGGCAATGGAGCCACCGTTTGATCATAGTGTTTAATGGCCGCGGCCTCTGGGTGCATATAGGGACCAGTGTGGCGACGGCAGTCGCAGCGGGGTGTCACCGCATCGGGGTTTTATGACACGGTGATTTTTGCCTCCTTATGCCGTTTGATGGCACGCGATGAATAGGATTCCTGTTAAAGATAGTCATAACATAAAATTCACTCAAAGTTTACTGTTGCAATAAATTGAAATCAAAGAAGTGCACATAACCCAACAATAAAACGCATCGGAGCTTGTCACGGAGTTCATTTTAGCCTGCAATTTGACAAGAGCCGGTCGGCCGGTTAACAAACAATCATACGTGAATGAGATTAAAGGTGTGATGTGGCATGCGGCACTGTCCACCCAGGCATCAACAACTCTTTGGTCGAAGGCAGCGTCAGTCGCAGGACAGTCGACAGTGCCGACAGTGCCGACAGTGCAGTGGTAGTCGACAATGCGACAGTGCCGGTCCTGGCAAACCTGGCTGTCCCAAATCCAAACACCAGATGCAGACGTCAGATAGTGAAGCTGGTACTTAAAATATTTCCTAGGACAGTTTCATCCATCCAGGGAAATAATAGAAGGCGAAACCATTCCGATCAAGAGATGTTTGAAAATATTTTTGTTGTTCGTGTTGTTACTGATGTTCGTCACTAATGTGTAACTGTAAACAGTACATTTTCCCACTATTGTTTAGCGTCAAAGTACACATATTTATTTGATGGTGTAACGAGGCGCCAGGAAAAAATGACTCTGTGCGCTCTTTTGCCATGTGTTACATTAAGGATAACAGTTTCATGCAAATATTAAAGCACACATTATCGCCCATGCAAGAGTTTTGAAAAGTGGCAAGCTCATAACTGTGCAGCGTGCACCAATCGCAACAGACAATTTGCTAGTTGACAGGATAGAAAAAAGTTGGAGGAGTAACTTTCCGGTGTTTTTTTCAGTTTCGTAAAGCACATATTACTACTGTACATTACTGAACCATGCGCTGCTTTAAATGCATTATTAAATTTTCCAGCTCTTTTCAATTTCCATATAATGCCTTAGTTTATTAAATTTATCGCGTGCAAACTTCATACAACAAGCTAGAGTGTTGGTACCAAATTGAATAAAGTCGGTATTAAAAATGGAAGTGTCTAAACGTTGCTTATATTCCTTCCGATACTGGAGCACTATTCTAACAATCTGTTAAATGCCTTATGTTACCTTTAGTGGAATTTTGTCCTTCCCTCACGACACCTGACACATACCTAGATAGTCCATAACCGTCTGACAAATTGTGATTATTGTAAACGTATGTCAGCATGATAAGGAATCTACCAAATTAACGTTGCACCACCATCAGCACGCGAACGTGCTGATACAAATGCCAAGCAAACATATCAGGCCTGTAACAGTTAGATGCTAATGTGTCCTGGTGTGCTGTTGATGCATCGCTCAAACATTTCAACATCTTTCGTTGAATTAGCCAGAAACAAGTGTACCGATAGCTGTCCCTGGCACCAAATGTCTAGCCATCGACCCATCTGAGACCCTTTTTTTAGGGATCTCGCTTACTGCCGCCCCCATCTCCTCACGCTATATGAACGGATGTGTCCCCACCTCGGACACCGATACGCCAACTGTGGACGGCCGGCCGTTGAATCATTCATACTAGCCTATCGCCGTTTCATTAGGCGCCAACAGGTGCTCACGCCGGGGCCGGACAGGTAGGCTCCTGTCGCGTCCGTCGCGTGAGACCGGCGCGACGATAGGCTCATTTACACGGTCCCGCTCCGCGCCGGCGACCGGCCGAAAAACGCCTGTCGCCGCGCGGCGTCAGCGGTTATGTCGGATGGCGCGGCCATTGTGGCTGGCGTGCTGTCTTTCCTGGTGTGCATGCATGCTGAATAGGTGTTCTTACCTGTGTCAGATCTCGACCTTGGGATGCATTAGGGGTGGCGTCTGATCGACGACACGCAACTGCTTCGAACACGGTCCGGCCATAGCGTGGACATTGACGATTAATGTCGGCTGAAATTTTGAAGAGGTGACTACATAATAATCGTTTGTCAAACTTGCGTGAGACAAATCTGTTCACGGTCTTGTTTTCTGTTCTCGTGCATGTGAGTTCTATTGGTTCCATGTAGTTGCAGACCTTGATAACATTGTCTTTAGTTCAGAAAGGGTGTTGGCAGCCGGGCAATGAAGTGTCGCTGTGCTGATCGTTCAAGCGACGTTGTTGAGCTTGCAGCCTAACTACCTGCTACCCTGTGTATCAATGAGGTAGTGACTAATGCCCACCAATCTAATAAACACTTTAAAAACATGGTATACCGGCATGGAAGTCATGCAATTTGATTTTAAAATGATCTGTAATGCTGTGCTGTTATTCACTTTTGAATAAAAACCTAGCTATTGGCGCCTTTATTTATCAGGATCGGGTTATCGTAGCCCGTGTTTGCGCTTGATCCGTCTTCACGCCTATAAAATATAATTTGATCAATGAATTGCGCCCGGGAATATCTTTTAACCCTCACGTCAGCAGTTCTATGGATTTATTCAATTTTTGCAGAACATTATACCTATGCATCTTGGTGATCAATGATATTGATCACCAATTGATCAATGTCATTGATCTCACCCCAGTCATCCCAGATGATGACTTCAGGTATATAAGGAGAGAGAGAGAGAGAGAGAGAGAGAGAGAGAGAGAGAGAGAGAGAGAGAGAGAGAGAGAGAGAGAGAGAGAGAGAGAGAGAGAGAGAGAGAGAGAGAGAGAGAGAGAAATGTTTTTTTTTAATTAACATTCGCATTGGTAGGTACAGCATAACACACACGCAATGACGTAAAAGCGCGTTGAGTGCTTAACATGCGCCGTGCTGGTGGCAAAAATTGACCTCAGGTCCGGCAAGGTTCATGCTGCATATCAGTCGATCCGTATCGTCGAGCTGAATACATCTGACATGTTTTCGCCGCTCTAGCACGTCTCTATCAAAAGTTATAGTAACAAAAACTGCTGGTGACCTTTCATGACCTGAGATGACCTCAGGGGCACACAGAGGAGTCACAGATGATATTTTATGATTCAGTGTGTCATATTTACCCATGAACCGACGTTTGAGAGGGTTTAGAACGACATTTGTCCAAAAGAGGTGGATTTCAATTTTCACACATTGATTTGGAGAGGTCGCAAATATGACCTGACCTTAGGTCACAGATATCAAAAATGTGAGGTAAACATTTTATGCATACTCTTACCAATCGCTGAAAGTTTCAAAGTGATCATTCAGTCGGTGTAGCTACAGCCAGCCTTTGAACTTTTTCTGAGGTAAAGTTACCTGACATGATTTGGTGACCTGACCTTGAACGACCCGGGTCTGATATTACGACATGTGCGGAAAAATGCATAAACAGGTAACCAAAACGGTGGTGCTGCGCTCCGCCGTTTTTTCCCCCCAGCACGGCGCGGGCGAATATAAGACGCCGTTTGCTACCCTATAGGCAGAGGCACACATTATAACACAAACTATAAACTACGCTTCACACACCAAAAGACGCACCACCGTGACATAGGTGTCAAACAAAGTTAATCGGACTCTCACCTCTTACCACTTGAAGACATTTTTAAGAAGGAATCGAAATTTATGAAGCTTCGACATAAGCACGACTGCAACATACCAATCAACATAGCTATAAGGAAGTTTCCAAAATTTCCAAAATTAAATGTTTGATGTCAGAAGCAGCAAGCCGCATAATTTGTCACGATAACCACTAACCAGGCATCATTCCGGCATGCAGATCATGTCATAAACATTTGGTAAATGACTCGCTGTTACACCATTCCTGCACATTCGTTTCCTTCGTGACATGAACCACGAGCATTCTTCCACTGTCCGTGCGGTTTGACATTTACTGCTGAGCTTGTGTTTGTGCTAATGCTGGTTCATCAATGTCGCTTAAAATGCTCTCGGAGCAGGAACATTTTCCTTTACAAAACGTTTTTACGGCTGTAAGTTCGCTTAAGCATAGGCACTCCATAGTCTCCTAAAGTATGCATGCTTGGAAAGCAGCAATAAATTATGGGAAGACCACGACTTTGCCGGATGAGTGTTTCGTTGGTACCTACAGTTACCATGAATAGCAAAGGATACCTACTCGTTATATAACACAATATACTGAACTAATTGCTTTAATTAACTGTTTATGATTTCGACAAAAACAGAGCATACTCGTATGCCCGTCTAGACAGCCTCTACTCCATACTAACTCAATTTCGAAAGTAAATACATCAAATGGATACGCCTCGGGTTTGGTAACTGATGACTGCTAGCAACTTGTTTGCTCGATACCGTATTTCTCCGCTACCGTGCGCACCAATGCTACGAATACGCCCCATACCACAGACACCGTTAACGGCGCTCCCTGTCGGCCATCTTCACCGACTATCAAATCTCCAGCATCTCAACCCATTCCTAAATCCGTGCGTGCCGCCGACGGCCGTCCCACCGTCCCTGTTGGCTCACACCGGAGCGACTGGGGAGCGGGTTTTGCAGGGACTACCCGGCTCGGAATGTCAGTCGGCCCGCCGTCTGCCGGGGATCCGCCGACGGACGAGCCGTCGCCTCCGCCGCGCGGCGGCCGGTGACTTTTTACCTGCCTGGCGGTGCTGCCACCTGTAGACCGCCGCCGCCGCCGAGCCGGGCCGGTCGGCAGTGGGGCGGCGGGACCTGCAGTCTGCCGGCGATCAGCGGTGGGGAGGTGCAGGTGTGCAGTGACCGGCAGTAGCGTGGAGTGACCGACCCGGTGACTGAGAGAGCGAGACAGGGCCGCGGGGAGGGGAGTGAGGTGACAGTGGGAGCCGACATGCGAAGGCTGCGGCTGTGATGCGTTCATCACGGAGACACAGGATCCTGGCAATGGTGAGTGACCGTACGAGCTGACCCGTCGAGCGCGGCAGGGGGTGGGCGGGCGGCAGCGGCACGAAAGGCCGGCGCATCGGGACTAGCGGCCACCGGCCGGGCCGTGGCCGGGCGCCCTGTTGCTCGCTCTATTGGGGGTCAGATTTGTTCGCGTGCCGTGTCAACTTTAAACAATCATAATTTTCACTTGTTTATTTGTTTTTAGTTTTTGTCCGAAAAGTCAAATTGTTACACAAATAGTATGAGTGACTATCAGGAGTCAACTTCTTATAGCTTCTGACTGACTTGGAAAAGGCAATAGCGAAATTTCTCAGTGAAATTCGCGACTTGTCTAGTGAAGAAGCGCGGAGGCGACACGGATACCTCGCCGACTGTGCTCTTACCCCATAGCCGTTATCGAATGCTCGGCACGAAGGAAGGGATTAAAAATGCATTAATTTGAAACATAAAACCCAACTTTCAGAGTCCCACTATGTCGGAACCCGGATGTCGTTAAATGCCGCGATCATTTGCTTGTCCATAACGGTATGTAAATGCAACATCACCGGCTTGTTTTTGCTGAAGCGTTGTTGGACCTGCGATACGCAAGGTCAGCTACATTCACAACGATATACCTACCCCGGCTGAGTATGTTAATGGGCATAGTACTTTCCCACGGATGCTTGAAGACAAATTAAGTAAACCGTTCATAATACGCGTAAAAATTTCAAGCAGTGCGACTAATGAGAATATCTACAATATACATTCAAGAAAAATATCAATCTTATTCAAGGAGGCATGTAACGACTTTCTCTGGTAATGGGAGGAAATCAGAACAAATTATTCAGCTTTTTATGCAATCAACAGCATGACTAGAGAGCCGACAAATGGCGATGGCCGGCATGTCACCGCGCACCATAACCGCATCCAAACTCTGGCTTGCTGACAGGTTGCAATTATATTTCGCTACATTACCGGTGTTTCTTAGTAAGTAAACATGCCATGCAAACAAAAGAATACAGCCTCCTTGAAAATAGGTGGAAACTCTGACACATTGGACAGCTGAATACTGCTATGGATGTTGCAATATGTTACACCTCTCTTGTTTGTCAGCAGCGATAGAAGTACACCCGCCATGGGAGTATTTTCTGCTGCAGTATATCCGGGACACTGGCGGTCGCTCGGGCCGGACCGGCTGTCTGTCCGTGAGACGTCAGACGGCTGTAATTATTTATCGCCACGGCATGACTGCAGCCGGCACCGGTGGAGGGAGCACGACCCTCGTCGGCCGAGAGGCGGCCGGTCGAGACACGGTCCCGATACGGGGCGGGGGGCTAGCAGACCACAGCGGCCGATCGGTGGATCAGAGCGGCCGATCAGAGGATCACAGCAGCGGATCAGAGCGAACGATTAACGGATCAGCGGATCACAACGGCTGATCAGTGGATCGAAGCGGCTAATCAGAGGCTCACAGCGGCCGATTAGCAAATCGGTGGATCTCAGCTGTAGCGCAGGGCGCAGCGTGCAATACGGCATATCCCAGCTGCCGGGTTCGGTTGAGCTGACAGTGCTCGCCCGGGCATATAGGGCCTTGCTCGCCTGGGTGGGTGGCTCGGCAGTTCGGCTCGGATGACCGAATAGATGGTTGGTATCATCACATTAGTTAACAGCCCACTGCATCAGGCCTAAGATGGAAAGTTGGGAAGGTCGGCCGAAGTTTGTCTCTTACATGGTGATTGTTGGTGCTATAAAAAGCTGCCGCGACGAACAGAGTGGCTGTTCCTGACCAGCTGATGTGAGCCCACCATCCGCAGACCGCCCCCTGCCGATCCATGTTGTCAGGGACGGCTCGGCAGAGCGTCCGCACGACCTTCACAGCCTGCAGAGGCGGCAGATCTCCGCGGCCGGGGGATGGAGGGGAACGTCAGCCGGTATCGGCTCCGTCTGAGCCGAGAATAGCATCTCTGGGCACTACCGATATGGTCACTGAATGACAGAAAAGCTTGGTAGTGGGTACGAAGAACTAAAAAGCTTGATTTGGGGCTCGAATAGAGTGAGCGGAGGATGGCCAGCACGAGGAGGGAGGGAGGGGCAGAGGGGTGGGAGGAGACCCGAGTCGTGGCGCGCGGTTTGACGGCCCGGGTCCAGGGACGGGGAGGGGACCGGGCCGCGGCCGAGGCGAGATAAGGCACACACAGTAGGTACACACGGGGAGGGAGGGATCTGCCGCAAAACAGGTCAGGCAGTCAAAGACGCGAGCTCAGAGGCGGCGGACAGTGCAGAAGGGTGGAAACCAAGCGACAGGCTGTGGAAAATGGTCGTGGTCTCGGAGGCAACGGGCAGTCGAGAGAGTGGAAATCGAGCGAATGACTGTGTGATATGAGCGAGCAGTGGGCGAGGACGGGAGACAGGTTTGTGGCACGACAAAGTAGCTGGTGCTCAGCAGAGGGAGCACAAGGGAAACATACATGGCCGGTAAGTCAGGCTAGCGTGCTAGCGAGACTAGTGATAAGGGACCTGCATGGTTGACCCGCTCAAGAGTCAAACGAATGGAATATGCCGTGAACGAACCCAGACCATTGTGCAGAGACGCACTTGGCAAGTGAGTGTACGTATGTATGTATATGTTAACAGGAAAGCCGCAAGGCACATACGAGACTCTAGGCATCAGGAAAATAACGAATCGGCTCGGCTGATATGACATGTGCAGCGATGATACGCACTCTGGCTGGCAGAGTGCGCCGGGGTAGAGCGAGCTCAGCTGGCTATGTGTGCCGAGTTGATCGTATTTTAAGTGTCGAGAGAGAGAGAGAGAGAGAGAGAGAGAGAGAGAGAGAGAGAGAGAGAGAGAGAGAGAGAGAGAGAGAGAGAGAGAGAGAGAGAGGGAGAGAGAGAGAAAACATAGTGGCCCTCGGCTGGGTGTGTTCGCCGGGGTAGGATCGCGATCGGCTGGCTAGGTGAGCCGAGTAGATTGACATGGTATCCCGGCTAGCTGTGTTCGCCGGGTGGTCCCGCTCGGCTGGATGTGTTCGCCGAGTGGTTAGATTTCGTGGGTTTCCCGGCTTGCTGTGTGCGCCGGGTGGTCCCGCTCGGCTGGATGTGTTCGCTGAGTGGTTATTTCTCGTGGGTCTCCCGGCTAGCTGTGTGCGCCGGGTGATCCCGCTCGGCTGGATGTGTTCGCCGAGTAGTTAGATCTCGTGAGTACCCAGGCTGGCTGTGTGCGCCGGGTGGTCCCGCTCGGCTGGATGTGTTCGCTGAGTGGTTAGATTTCGTGGGTTTCCCGGCTTGCTGTGTGCGCCGGGTGGTCCCGCTCGGCTGGATGTGTTCGCCGAGTGGTTAGATTTCGTGGGTTTCCCGGCTAGCTGTGTGCGCCGGGTGGTCCCGCTCGGCTGGATGTGTTCGCTGAGTGGTTAGTTCTCGTGGGTCTCCCGGCTGGATGTGTTCGCCGGGTGGTCCCGCTCGGCTGGATGTGTTCGCCGAGTGGTTAGATTTCGTGGGTTTCCCGGCTTGCTGTGTGCGCCGGGTGGTCCCGCTCGGCTGGATGTGTTCGCTGAGTGGTAAGTTTTCGTGGGTTTCCCGGCTAGCTGTGTGCGCCGGGTGATCCCGCTCGGCTGGATGTGTTCGCCGAGTAGTTAGACCTCGTGAGTACCCAGGCTGGCTGTGTGCGCCGGGTGGTCCCGCTCGGCTGGATGTGTTCGCCGAATGGTTAGATTTCGTGGGTTTCCCGGCTTGCTGTGTGCGCCGGGTGGTCCCGCTCGGCTGGATGTGTTCGCTGAGTGGTAAGTTTTCGTGGGTTTCCCGGCTTGCTGTGTGCGCCGGGTGGTCCGGCTCGGCTGGATGTGTTCGCTGAGTGGTAAGTTTTCGTGGGTTTCCCGGCTAGCTGTGTGCGCCGGGTGGTCCCGCTCGGCTGGATGTGTTCGCTGAGTGGTAAGTTTTCGTGGGTTTCCCGGCTTGCTGTGTGCGCCGGGTGGTCCCGCTCGGCTGGATGTGTTCGCTGAGTGGTAAGTTTTCGTGGGTTTCCCGGCTAGCTGTGTGCGCCGGGTGGTCCCGCTCGGCTGGATGTGTTCGCCGAGTAGTTAGATCGCGTGAGTACCCAGGCTGGCTGTGTGCGCCGGGTGGTCCCGCTCGGCTGGATGTGTTCGCCGAGTGGTTAGATTTCGTGGGTTTCCCGGCTTGCTGTGTGCGCCGGGTGGTCCCGCTCGGCTGGATGTGTTCGCTGAGTGGTTATTTCTCGTGGGTTTCCCGGCTAGCTGTGTGCGCCGGGTGGTCCCGCTCGGCTGGATGTGTTCGCCGAGTAGTTAGATCGCGTGAGTACCCAGGCTGGCTGTGTGCGCCGGGTGGTCCCGCTCGGTTGGATGTGTTCGCCGAGTGGTTAGATTTCGTGGGTTTTCCGGCTTGCCGTGTGCGCCGAATTCCGGTCGGCTGAATGTGTTCGCTGAGTGGTTATTTCTCGTGGGTCTCCCGGCTAGCTGTGTGCGCCGGGTGATCCCGCTCGGCTGGATGTGTTCGCCGAGTAGTTAGATCTCGTGAGTACCCAGGCTGGCTGTGTGCGCCAGGTGGTCCCGCTCGGCTGGATGTGTTCGCTGAGTGGTTAGATTTCGTGGGTTTCCCGGCTTGCTGTGTGCGCCGGGTGGTCCCGCTCGGCTGGATGTGTTCGCTGAGTGGTAAGTATTCGTGGGTTTCCCGGCTAGCTGTGTGCGCCGGGTGGTCCCGCTCGGCTGGCTGTGGGCGCCGAGTAGATAGATCTCGTGGGTATCCCGGCCGGTTGTGTGCGCCGGCCGGGTGGTTCCGCTCGGCTGGATGTGTTCGCCGAGTGGTTAGATCTCGTGGGTCTCCCGGCTAGCTGTGTGCGCCAGGTGGTCCCGCTCGGCTGGATGTGTTAGCCGAGTGATTAGTTCTCGTGGGTACCTCGGCCGGCTGTGTGGTTCAGGTAGTCCCGCTCGGCTGGATGTGTTCGCCGAGTGGTTAGACCTCGTGGATCACCCGGCTAGCTGTGTGCGCCGGGTGAGGGAAGCACATCT